TGCTTCAGTCTCTTACTTAAGTAGTGTAGTTGTTCTGTGAGTCAAATCTGTGGCCCAAGGTTTCAAATTTTGTGAACTATATAGATTTATACACATTTTATAAAGGAGCATAATAACTTCTGATAGATTGTTAAAAGGATCCATTGCCCAAAAGACTGAAGAACTTGGAGCGCTATGCAGAGACAAGCCCTCACAAGAGCTATAGGAGAAGTGTAATTACCACACTCTATGACTGCGGGTCAGGACTAATGAATCCAGATGACAGGTTTTGAATCACACCTCCTTTTCAAATTACAACTTGGCTTTTAAAGATAATCTGACTGTGTTTCAGTTATTTGATAGTAATATAAACACTAATATCTCACTTTATTAAGGAGTTTAAGTGACTGGATACAGTCAGTTGTTTGTTTTGTTTTGTTTTTTTAATTTATTTTCATTTTACGTGCATTGGTGTTTTGCCTGCATGTATGTCTATGTGAGGGTGTTAGGTCTCCTGGAACTGGAGTAAGGTAGTTGTGAGCTGCCATGTGGGTGCTGGGAATTGAACCCTGGCCCTCTGGGAGAGCAGCCAGGTTCAGCTCTTAACTGCTGAGCCATCTCTCCAGCCCCCAGTTTATTTACATTTTCTTTTAAGATCCCCAGAGTTGTTTCTGTTAAGTGCAGAAGGAGGCATCAGTTTGGAGGACTAGCAAGCAGAGATGGGAGTCCTCAGCATCCAGGGTCGTTAGGAAGGAGGCAGTGTGGTGGTGGGAAGACCAGGAGCCCGCCTGAGGGCAGTCGACCACCCTAGCGCTGCTGCTCCGTGAGATCAGGTGAAGAAGGGCACGGGGCATTGCCCTGTCTGTGAAGTGGGGATGCAGTGCTGTTGCTCACATATGACCGGAGCAAACCGAGGCCCGTTCTTAAGCATTAGTACAGATAGTTCCGAACAGTAAGTACAGGTGAGGATCTGGAATCGGAAAGTCCAGAATTTGAAATTCTCCACAATCAGACCATTTTGAACACCAGCAGTTACACAAACGGCAGATTCGGCACCTGACCTCACGTACTGGGTAATGTCAAATTGCCGCTGTGCTCAAAATATCTTATAAGATTGTCTCCAAGGCCAACATAGTGGCGCACGCCTTTAATCCCAGCATTTGGGAGGCAGAGGCAGGCAGATCTCTTGAGTTCAAGGCCAGCCTGGGCTACAGAGTGAACTCCGAGACAGCCAGAGCTATGCAGAGAAACCCTGTTTGGGAAAACAAAAACAAAACAAAACCCTCCAGAATAATAATTTCAGTGTGTGTGTGTGTGTGTGTGTATACATATTCCAATATATATGAAAAAAACAAAACAAAACCAGAAAGCCTAAAGCATAAAAGTCCCGAGCAGTTTGGATAAAGGTATATATTCAACATGAGCTACATAAATGTTCACTATTATTTTTGTTAAGAGACTAGAATATTTATTTTAAAAAATCTCTGTATACTCAGTGCTAGACATGAAATGCACCCTTGATTTTGAGATGATGCTCACCCGTGAACATTTTCCTTTGCCTGACCCTTTCCTGCAGAGGCTGGCTACGTGGCTACTCCCATAGCCATGGTTCAGGCAGCCATGACTCTTCTGAATGACGCCTCTGATCTCCCTAAAGGGTAAGTTTGCATTTCTTCTAGTGAGAAAGTGTGTTTTCAGCCAGGTAACATCTTGGCTATTTTTGAGTTGATTTTTAGTCTTGGGTTCCTTTGGACCAAAGATATATGTTAAAGCAATGCCAAGAACAATTCCTTATCTGCCTTTGGAATTACTGTGAAGGTGAATGAGAGCCATGTAAGCTGGCTTCCATTCTTTATTTAAAGAAAACAAAACTCAAGCCTAGAGCCTGACACTCAGAAAGGGGCCCTGTTGTTTACTTAGCAGTGTTATCCAGGGCTCCTAATCAGTGTTGAGTGGCAGGGGAGTCCTGGCTGAGCAGGTGGGAACTGAGTCACGGCTGCTGCCCAGGTGGTTATGGAGTGCACTGTCTTACTGAGCATTTAGCTGGTTCCCTTGGAACTAAGCCAACCTCACCAGTGCACAGAAACCCATGGCTGAAGGGCAAATCGGGCATAACCTAAAACAGTATTAAGATATAGATATATAGATAGAAGTTGTGTGTAGTAAAACCTAACTAAAACTTTCCAGTACTCATCATTTGGCATTTTTGCAAATATTGGCCATTATAGTTGAGGAAATTCGTTTTCATCAACTTGAAGTGCTGTTTAATAATAGTTAGCTAGCTGAATGAATTCCATTTATGTTTTTATTTAGTCCTCTTGAGTGTGAAGACTCAGGTGTGTGATGCTCAGAGGGCCCCTTGAGCACACCTGTAGTATGGAAAAGTCTCACGAGGAACTAAACAGTGCTGTGGACTAAGAGCCATGTGCTCATTTGGCAGGTTTTAGGAATGTGATGGGGAAGAATTGGTTTTCAGGTGGTGTGAGTGACTCCATTGCTCGGCCCACGGAGGAGAGGGCTGGAGAGGAGCCTTGTGCACTGTGTTCTCTTGTTCCTGTTTTACAGGGGCGGTGTCTTCACACCTGGAGCAGCTTTCTCCAGAACGAAGTTGATTGACAGACTCAACCAGCATGGCATTGAATTTAGCGTCATTAGCAGCTCCGAGGTCTAAACATTTGAAGATTGACTGAATCATAAAATGCACGAACTAACAGCTTCTCTATTTGCTATTATGTGAAATTCTTCTATAAACCTATCTGACTGTATGTGGAAGACTGTCAAGTCTAAAATATCTATACATTAAAAGCAGAAAATTATACTAGCTTATCCTAATCCTCATATCTCAGCTGTTTTTATGATTTTATTGCTTGTGAGAGAAAGCTAATGTTCTCCTTGCCTTTTTATTGACAGTGAACTGGAAGGTGAGATAGTGAAGGGTCCCCGTTTGGGTACTAACAGCTTTCCTTAGGGGTGGGGCTTGACTGGTGTTGGGATGTGGCAGGAACGTGTGCCTTCCTTGCCGTGGTGTTGTGGGATCTCACCCTCCTGGGAGCTCCTCTGCATAGTGTGTGAGCATTGCTAAGTAAAACTGTACTTTTTCTATTTTAGTCAACTTCCTCATCCACCTACATGGACTGATTTTGGATTGTTTGCCTACGTTGAATAATAAAGGGTTGTTAATTGAATGATGGAGTTTTGTTTTGTTTTGTTTTGGTTTGTTTTTGGTTTTGACTTCTGTGTTTATTGTACATTGGCACTGTTTAAAGTGGCCTGACCTATTTACTGCCAATAATTGGGTTAGTGGATCTTTTTATCCCTGATTTCATAACTGTGGTTAGTAACAGCTTTTGATTTTCTATTGATCTTGACAGCCTCAGCAGAATTTTTCTTAAATTTGCTTTTTGCGTTTAAGCCACGTTTTACATTGAAACACTAAAATAAGGACAACATCTCCTCTCCTAATGAGTTACATGACATATATATACTCAAAGCTGGGGATGATAACTGGGCACTGCTGGCGCATGCCTTTGATCCCAGCACTCTGTGATTTCAAGGCCAGCCTGGTTTGCAGAGTGAGTCCTAGGACAGACAGTAATACCAAAGAAACCCTGTCTCAAAAAAAACAAAACAAACAAACAAAAAAAGACTAGGGATGTAGCTTAGGTAGTAGTATGTGCCTAGCATACACAAGGTCCTGGGTTCAGGCCCTAGTACACACCTGTAATCTTAGTACTCAGGAGGCAGAGGCAGGAAGATCAGAAGTTCAAAGTCATCCTCAGATATGTAGGGATTTGGAGACCAGCCTGGACTACAGACCCTATCTCAACAATACAACAACAACGTCTGAGACATGCACATACAGTATTTGTACTGTTCCTTATGTAAATAAGATAGCCACCCACTTGTGGACATAACAGAGTAGTACTCATGCTTGGTGATCCTTCTCTGCTCTCTGTATGGAAGAATATTCAACTTGAAAAGAGAGGATCTTTTATTTTTAAAAATTATTTAATTTTAACTGGCAAATAATGGTATGTATTTATGAAGTTCATGATGAGTATGACTGGGGCTAGAGTGATAGCTAAGAGCACTTTCTGATTTTGCAGAGGACCCAGGTTTGATTATTAGCACCCACATCAGGTGGCTTATAATTGGTGACTCCAGCTCCAAAGGATCTGATGCCATCATTTGTCCTCTAAGGGTACCTTGCACACATGTGGTACACACACATACTAGCACACACATAGACATAAAAATTATTTTTTTTAAAATGGCTTTTAGCTGGGCATAGTGGCACATGCCTTTAATCCCAGCACTCAGAAGGCAGAGGCAGGTGGATCTCTGTGAGTTCAAGGCCAGCCTAGTCTGCAGAGTGAGTTCCAGGATAGCCAGGGCTACATAATTAGACCCTGTCTGGAAAGAAAAAAAAAGATATTTAAATACATGCACACATTATAGAATAAACAAATAAAAGTAATAGCATCTATCACCTCAGATTATTTACAATTTCTTTGTGATGAGAACACTTAAAATCCTTACTTAGTCACTGTTAACTATGGTGAGTTAGCCTGGGACAGAACACAGACTTATTCCTTGTAACTTTTACCACTGAGAAAGGACTCCTCTTTTCCACTTACCACCTCCCTCCAGCTCCTGGCAGACACCATCCCACTGTCAGTTCTGTCGGTTATTTTTGGTAGATAATAGATTAACAGTTCTCTCTGTAGGTGGAGTTTTCCTGTCTGGACCACTGCTCCCGAATTAACCACTTACAAATGCTTGGTTGATAGCTCAGGCTTGTTACTAGCTAACTCTTACATTTAAATTAACCCATATTTCTTATCCATGCTTCGCCACGTGGCTCATGGCTTATCCACCTCATGTTCTACACACCCTGCTTCCTCGGCATCTGGCGGGCTGGAGACTCCCTGACTCCGCCCTTCCTCCTCCCAGACTCCTCTGTGTCTGGCTGTCCCGCCTATACTTCCTGCCTGGCTACCAGCCTGTCGGTTTTTTATTAACCAATGAGAGTAATACATATTCACAGCGTACAGAAGGATTAATCCACAGCATCTCTCTGTGTAGTTTGATTATTCACTTAACACAGTGACCTCTAAGCTCACCCGTGTTGTCACAGATTAGAATTCCCTGCTTTTAAAGAGAACTTTTATTTGTTCTTTGACAATTTCATACATGGATATAATACATCCCGGTTTCTCTCACCTCACCCTCTCTGATCACCCTTTAACCCCTGGCAACCCTACAGACCACTTCCCAACACTCATGACTCTGTTCTGTTACCCACTGAGTTTGACCGTGGCTCTCTGGGCACCCATGGTTTGGAGCTATCCATTGGAGCCCAGTGGGCTTATCAGTGAGTACACAACTGAAGACAGAGACTGGCCCCCAGTTCTGTCACAGTCAACAGCTCAGCAGGGAATGGCAGGGCCCGACGAGCCCCCACCCAATCTGTGACTGCCAGGTGACAGGCCCAGGGCAGGCAGCTGCAGCCTGGTGATCATGGTTGTGATGCTATGCCGTGCCCAGAACAAAGCATTCCACTGTCATTTTCCTCTCTTCCGACTCTTACATTCTTTCAGCACCCTCTTCCACTGTGTTCTCTGAGCTTTAGAGGGGGTGGTATAAATGTTCTGTCTAGGGATGAGCATTTAATTGTCACTTATCATCAGTACCTTGACCAGCCATGATTCTCTGCATTCACAGCCATTCATTGCTAAGAGAAGCTTCTCTGATGATGATTGTCATTTGTACAAAGGTATAAATATGAATATTTAGAAGGCGGTTTGGTGCCATGTCAATTTAGTTAAACAATCCTGTTTCTCTTAAGGTTGAGTGGTATTCCCTTGTATACATAAGTCATATTTAAAAAGCTGGTCATGCATAGGTGGACACTTAAGCCTTACCTCAGCTTGAGAATATTGCTGCAGTGGACATGGAGTATGGCTAGCTTTCAACGTGTTGATTTCAGTTCTTTTGAGTATACACACAGTAATGGGATTGCTTGATCATAAGATAATTCTGTTTTTGTTGTTTTGAGGAACCTTTGTGGAAGTACTGCATACATTAAGTGATAAATTATCATGAGACTTGAACAAGTTAACAAATGTTTGGAATTAAGATTGCAGTCTGGCGCCTGGTAAATGTGTGTTAACCTTCACTGTTATTTTTTTAAACTTTTTAAAATTTTATGTACTTTTTGCCTGCCTGTATGTCTGTGTAAAGTTGTTGGATCTCCTATAACTTGAGTTACAGACAGTTGTGAGCTGCTACGTGGGTGTTGGGAATTGAACCTGCATCTTTTGGAAGAGCAGCCAGTGTTCTAAACCTCTGAGTCACCTCTCCAGCCCCAAGGGTCACTATTCTTGTGGCTTTGTTACTAGATGTTTCCCTGGCCATAAAAGATTTTCTTATAGACTCTTCCTAGAGTATTAGTGTCTGTAAGTCCCTGAGACTCACCAACCATTTGTGGGACCAATATCCGCTGCAGGATGGACTGTCTCCTGAAAGGAGTTGGCTGACATTCAGCTCTGCACCACAGAGATCCTACAGTACGTCACTACTGCGGCTGAGCCCATTGAATGTATTTCAAATAAGCATATGAATAGAAATGAGTAGGGGAAAACTCGTGCATGGGTGGACTTGTTCAAGAGCAAGGGTACAAAATAAAAAAACGTGAACTAACTATTGTCTATTTCTGACAACAAAAAGAAACAAAATCAACTAATCAGGCAGGTGTTATTTACAGTGTGGAATGCAAAAGCCAGGCATGTTGGCTCACACCTGAGATCATAGCAGAAGGGACCACTAAGAGTTCGAGGGCAGCCTGGGTTAAGAGTGAGACTCTGTCTCAAAAAATAACAAGTGAACAGACTGGAGAAATGGCTCAGAGCCTAACAGCATGTGCAGGTCTCCCAGAGGACCCAAGATCAGCGCCCAGCAACCAAGGTGGGTTGACGGCTGCCGCTAGTTCTAGCTCCAGATGACCCAACTCCCTCTTCTGGCCTAAAAAGGTACCGCACACATATACAGAGATACAGACATACATACACACACAACAAAATTGTTCTTTTTTAAAAAGGAAAAAGGAAAGGAATGTGAACTATTTCCCAGGAAAGCACTGATGGTACTTGTTACTGAGCATACTCTCTGCCAGGCATTCTGCCAGGAAGGTGGTAAGCATTAACCATCCCAGATAACCGATGAGTAAAGGGAGGTCAGTGAGTTGCCCCACACTGTACAATGTAGAAGGGTAGAATGTGAGCAATCAAATCCAGAGTTCCAGGTTCTGACCTTCACCATAGACATCTCCCCTCACCATCCTGTATACATGTTAATTTTTTTTTATAGATTTTTAAATCCATTTAAGGCTCAGTGTGGGTCTGGGGATACAGAGGCAAGATAAGGCCAGTTTGGTCCACATAGCAAGGCCTTATCAGAAAAGAGGCAAGTGGAAGCATTTTACCTAAAAATGGTAGATGCAGTTATGTGAGTCAATGAAGTCATTAACTCAGAGCATGTTTCAGCATGCTCATCTTCACTGTTGGGTATGCAGTAGATACTCTTTCTTCTTCTTCTTCACTATGGCAGCAACATCATTTTTCAGCTTCTGTAAGCTGGATTCAAGCAGGTCTTCCAAATCTTTGAGCATCAGTGACTGTTGGTGCACAAAAGGTCGAAGCATTTCATCATCTTCCTAAAAATTAAATGAAAGAAAAAAATGGCAGTAGATTTCATATGACTAGAATAAAAATATTTAGTACATGTGAATGAGGTGTCCGGTAAATGTTCCCACGTGGCTAAAGAATGCATTGGACCATTTTGAGCAGTCAGAAGTGACCCAGAGCAGATACTTGAGGAAGGCCATTTGAATCTAGCAAGAGTAGATGAGATCATCCGTAATTTAAGATCAGAATGTTCTGTGTTCTCTCAGTACTATAGACATGGAGACTTGCACAAGAACTCCCAGATGTAGGGGTTTGCTGACTTATTCCCTGCCCAGTGGAAGCGAGTACCACTGAGAAGGGATTCCAGAGTCCAGTGAGCATCGGCAGAGGGCAGGGTGGGGAAGGCAGGTGACGTAGCACCTGTTTGGGCTCCAGTTTGCTTCCTGGATTGTCAATAGGTCCCTGCCTGTTCAGATCCTTTGCCCATTTTTTTTTCCCAATGAATTTTCAATGTTTCTTTTCCCTATTTCTTTTTTTTTTTTAAAGATTTATTTATTTATTATTATGTATACAGTGTTCTGTTTGTATATATGTCTGCACGCCAGAAGAGGGCACCAGATCTCATTACAGATGGTTGTGAGCCACCATGTGGTTGCTGGGAATTGAACTCAAGACCTCTGGAAGATCAGTCACTGCTCTTAACCTCTGAGCCATCTCTCCAGCCCTTCTTTTCCCTATTTCAAAGGTAATCATTTATATATTCTGAACACTAATAGTTGATGATATTTATGGGTTAGCATTCAGGAAGTTTTAGATTTTAGGGCCCTTTGGCTTTTTGAGTAAGACATGTTCATCCAGTTAAAATCCATGAAATATCCCAAAATCAAAGAACCCTGAAACGTTTTAGATAAGGGATAGTCAACCTATGATATGAGTTGGTTTGTAATTATTCTTGTGTGTCTAGTGGGGAGGAAGGTGTTCACAGGTGTGCCTGGGACAGCCTGGAGTCAATCACAGTTGTTCATAAGGAGCAGTCCACCTTGATTTTTTTTGAGGTGGATTTCTGTCTTGAAGCCCACTGAATAGGCTAGGCTGACTGGCTGGTGAGCTCCAGGGATCCCCTGCCTGCCTTTCCCCAGGACTGGGATTTTACACACTCCCGCCATGCTTGGCTTTTTATATATGGTTCTTGGAGTTAAACTCGGGCCCTCCTGCTTGTGCTGCAGGCATTTTACCAGCAGAACCACCTTCCCAGCCCCGAGTGCTTACCATTAACTTTATTTATGGGGCCTGAGTTAGGGTTTCTATTGCTGTGAAGAGACACCATGACCACAGCATCTCTTATAAAGGAAAACATTTAATTGTGGCTGGCTTACAGTTGTAGAGGTTTAGTCCATTATCATAATGGTGGGAAACAGGGAGGCATACAGGCAGACATGGTGCTAGAGAAGGAGTTGAATTCTGCATCTTTATCCACGGACATCAGAAGTAAACTGAGACACACTTCCTCCAACAAGGCCACACCTACTCACACAAGGTCACACCTCCTAATAGTGCCACTCTTGTTGCAGGATATTTGATCACACAGTGAACCCTGAGGTCGCATTATTTACTGAAAAAACCTGAAAAGCTTTGGTGTGACTCAGCCTTAACACACACCTTTAATCCAAGAGTTTTCTGCTTGAATATTGCAAACAGGATTAATTAAAGTCAACCATAGGTCAAGAGATTTGCCAAGCAAGCAGTTGACAGGAAAATAATCATAGAGAGTATGAGGAAGTCAGGAGGATGGAGAGAGAGACACACACAGGAAGTAGAAGGGAAGGACAACCAGCTGGAGGAGTTTTGTTTGAGATGGCATAGGAGAAAGGTCATCAGAGGAGGAAGGTCAGCTGGGTGCTTGTTCTGCCTCTCTGAGCTAGCAGGTTTTCACCCCAGCATCTGGCTCCCAAGTCTTTATTGGTAAAATCAAATGACTGAGATTTTGTTAAAAACAACATTTGGCACCCAATGTGGGGCATGACCACATGGACAGAGAAATCACGTTAGCTGTGGACAAACTGAGAAGCCATTTGAGTACTGGGAAGCACTCAGGGAGAGAGTTAAGTAATATTAAAAAGTAATGCAGGGTGTTAGGGTCCTGTATAGTGCTACTTCAAATGGCATGAAAATAGAAAATGAAAAGATAGATGACTTAACTGAGATTGACATAATAGCAAGTATAATCACTATCAGTCTGGTAATTCATATTTTATCCTTAATAGTCATGGTAGTTTTTTTGTGCCAAATATGAAAAGTGGATTGATAAGATACAATCCTTAGAAAGACTTATAAATGAAAATAAGAAAAATACTCAGACACAGACAGAGGATTTAGAGAACTACCATGCCACCACATGATGAAACTGAAGAGGAGCAGCCCAAAGTTGTTAGAAAACCAACCTTAGTTTATCCAGTTACTATGCAAGAACTACCAGCAAATGATACACACCCCCAAGGTTACCAGGAAGTTAAATGGAGTCCTATAAAAATATTATATTTGAGGAGATTTAAGGAAGCAGTCATTTCATATGGTATGCATTCACTCTATGTGAAGTAGATATTAAATTCATGGGAACAGCATTATCCCACAAGACTGGAAAGATTTGGCACCAGCAATATTGGAAGCTGGTCCTCAGTTAATAATGGCAAACCTGGTGGAAAGAGGAAGCTAGGCCCACAGAACAGTGAAATAGGGCTAGAGGTGTTAATACTTCCCAAGATCAGCTTCTAGGTAGAGGTCAATATGCTGAGTTACAACGGCAACTTGAGTTTGATGTCAAACTATGGCACTATATTGTTTAGCAGCTTTAAATGCTTGGGACAAGGTTGAAGAATCAAAAAAGAGGTCTGAGTCATTTATTAAAAATTATACAATGCCCAAAAGAAGCCTTCACTGATTTTTTTCAAAGATTGACCTCAGCTGTAATTAGAATACTATCAGATCCAGAAGTCAGACAAATATTAAATGAATCTTTGGCTTTTGAAAATGTTAATTCAGAATGGAAATGGATGATTAGGCCTTTAAAGGCATGATTGGCACCAATAGATAAATGGATTAGAAATATGGATGATGTTGGATCTCACATTTATGATGCTACTCTGATAGAAGTAATTTCTAAAAGTTTTAAGAAAAATAAAAATGTTAGATGTTTTAATTGTAAACAAGGTCATTTCAAAAGAGACTATAGACAGGGCATTCCTAGAAACAATATTTTTTTCTAGGAATAATCCAAACAGAAAGCCCCTCCCTTCTGGAGTGTACAGAAGGTGTGGCAAAGTATGACATTGGACTAATGAATGCAGATCAACAAGGGAGAGGCAAGGTAACCCTTTGCCATTGGGAAATGCCCAGATATCAAATTTGATTTAATCATTCCCTGTCAATATCATAGAAACTCATCCACAGAGCAATTAAAAGATTTAATGCCTATTGTTAAAAACAGCCCTGCTCTGGAGGTAATCAAGGACAGAACAGCTTCAGTAGATAAAAAATTCAAGAGACCAGAAAACAAGTATTTTGGCAACTAGATAAATGATTAGAGACCAAAGCTAAAAATACAAATAAATGGCATTGAAATAGAAGGTTTAGTAGACACAGGAGAAGATATAACAATAGTTTCACCAAAATCTTGGCACCCAGATTGACCTCTTCAGGATGATAAAGTTCCCAATCTCAGCTTCTAGGGATGGGAACTTTATCTCAGATAAAAAAGTAAAAGATAGATCAAGTATATAGGGCCAGAAGAACAAATAGGAAAATTAAAGCCACATGGAGCTAATATAGCCATGAATTTATGGGGACGTGATTTCTTACAGCAGTGGAAAACACAGATTAACATTCCGCCAGTCTCAGAAACAAACCATAAAATAAAGAATGCTTCTGAGAAAAACATTAAAAGGTGTTATCAAGAGCAATCACAGACTGTTCAGGTTGTACAACAGCTGCTGATCTTTCAAAGGAACCAACAGCCCTACCTTTAAAATGGTTAACTGATAAACCTGTCGGGGTGGGACAATGGCCTTTGACATCAGAAAAATGACAGGCCATATACTAGATGGTACAGGAGCAGTTCAATGCTCAACATATTGAAGAGTCAAACAGTCCTTGGAATTCTCTTGTATTTGTCATTAAAAAGAAATCTGTAAAATGGAGAATGGTAACAGATTTAAGAACCATAAATAACGTGATCCAGTCAATGGGCTCTTTACAGCCTGAATTCCCTTGCCTTCTTTATTATCTGAGGGATGGTCTACTGTAGAAACTAATTTAAAGGACTGCTTTTTTTTAACTATACCTTTACAAGAAGAACAATATAGAGAAAAATTTGCCTTCTTAGTGCCTACTTATAATAATCTAAATATGTTAAAAGTTATCATTGGGGGTGAGGGCTAGAGAGATGGCTCAGTGGTTAAGAGCATTGACTGCTCTTCTAGAGGACCAGGGTCCAATTCTCAACACCCACATGGCAGTTCACAACTGCCTGTAACTTCTGTTCCAAGGCTCCAACACAGATATACATGTAGGCAAAACACCAATCACACAAATAAAAAATAAATAAATTGAAATAAAAGGTATCACTGGAAAGTTCTTCCATAGGGAAGAACTTTGTGTTACTGTTTTGTTAAATAGCCCTACCTTGTGTCAATATTTTGTACAACAGGCATTAGAACTAATTCATAAATAGTTTCCTCAATCTAAAATGTATCATTATAAGAATGGTATCTTACTGGCTGATTCAAACTCAGATATCTTAGAAAAAATGTTTGATGAAGTAAAGAAAACTTTGTTTTGCTAGGGATTACAATCTGCTCCTGAAAAAAAATATGAAGAGGAGATTCTATCAATTATCTAGGATACCAGATAGGTTTACAGCAAATTGAACCACAGAAAGTACAAATCAGGAGATATCAATTACAAACTTTTTTTTTTTTTTTTTTTTTTTTTTTGTTTTTTTGAGACAGGGTTTCTCTATGTAGCTTTGCGCCTT